TATCTGTATATATATATATATATATAATAAAATAAAGTAAAATAAAAGTAAGTTGATCTGATTTCGCTACTCGCTTTATAGTCCATTTTTGTACTGTTATCTTTTTTTTCTGTTCTTGCATGTTATTTTTAACTTATTTTTACTTTTTGTTATCTATTTTATTTGTTGTAATTTTCATAAAAGAATTTTTTGAGTGCTCCTCACACTATTGTATTAATATATTTTGCTTTGGCTTTATTGATACAATATCAGAAAGCACTCTGTTTTGCAGATATAATCGTGTGGGCTGAGGAAAAGATTATATCTTTTTTTTCCGGGGTTTTTTCCGGTTTTTTAAATAAAATTTCGTCTTTTTTTTTTTTTTAAACTGCTGTTTGTTATTTTTTTACTTATTATCCCCCCCCCTTTTTTTTTCATATGTCTATAATTTTTCTCTGCTTTATTCTACATTTTGAACTTATATATTGTATATATGCACAAGAGATAAATATAAGAAAACAAAACATTTTCGGTAGATTTTTTTTTTCATTTTATTTTGCAATCTATTTTCCTTTTTGTTCAAAATTCAAAATATTAAATCCAGAAAATCCAAAAAGTAGAATATCAAGAGGTTCTCAAAATAGGCATCTGTTTGGTCCTCATTTGACATGAATCTACCACTCAAAGTGCATCTTTATCTTTTTAAAGTTTGGAATTGGAGTAACTTAATGAGGGGGAGGGGGTGGAAATTTAGTAATTAAGGCTGTTGTAATATTTTGAATTTTAATTCCATATTTTTCACCTCCGAAACTAAACAGGAGAGCTTTCGAATATAGAATTTTTCTTCTTCGCCACGTAAGAATGTTTTGTCTTGATTTTTATTCCTATAATATTACGATAACAGCACCAGGTACTTTTCATTTTGCATCTTTTTGCAAGTAAACGACGGTGATGAATTCGCGTACATCCCGAGATACTATGGTCATCACCTTGATTGCTTATTTTAACGTATTTGCCTTTTTCGGAACTGGATCCCTATTAAAACCCCATTTTTTAAGGATGTTCCTTTGTTTCGGGAGTGGAGTTTAGTCTCAAAAAGTGTCCAAACATCATACGAATCAATCATACGAAAGCGCTTGTTTTCCACTGAGAGCAAACGCTGCTGCCCTCCTGTCGAGACTCTTTTTTCAAACATGACTTTTGTGCAAAATTAGAAGTACTTTCTCTAGTAATATGTCTATGGCTCCAATTATTTTGCCTACTTTGATTCATAAATCACTCAAAATTATATCTTGGATTTTGTCCATCATTTGGGTGGAAGTCACTTCAATCGGGTGTTTCAAGATATACTGTCACGTTTAATCTCATTTAGCTAATTTTAACCATACGAAAGCAACAAGTTCAAGTGCTCAAACTTTGACCTCTTTCGTTATTGGACCTTTTAAATGGTTAAACACATGCATACGTGTTGTGTAACCGTGCGAAACTCATTTCTTTTCATTTTCTTAAATAAATCGAAATTTGCGTTTTCAGTCACCTGTAACAAGAAAAAAACGGGATGCATAAAATGAGGAACACTGTCTAAAAACAAATCTTTTTCAATATTACGAGCGCCAATTTTTGGATTTTTAAGAACGTATTGAACGAACTTTGTATTTCATTAAAAATTTATATAAAGGAAGCAGAATGTTTATATGTATGTGTGTATTTTTGCATGTGTGTATGCATGTGTATGTATGTACCTCATACAGATCCACAATTCTGAACCGAACCACTCAAAATTTAGTGTATGTACGTTAGAAGACGCGGTGAACCTAACTTTCTACTTAAAAACTCGTCCAATCAACGGTTCGGTCCAATCACCGGTCGCCTAAATGCAAAAATAAAAATAAAAAAATTCCATAGGATTTGACAAATATTTCATATGAGTAATTCTAACGTTTTAATGTCTTTTTTTTCTATCGACTTTTGCATGTAGAAAGAGATTACGAAGTAGGTGAATTGTATTTTCAATTTTAGCTGAGTTTATTCATAATCATTTTATTCGAATCCCGTGATTCGCGATTGATTCGTTAAGTCACGTTATTCGAATTTCCCAATTTGAATTGAGATCTGAATCACTTGATTCGAACAACGGATCTGAAGTTAATGATTTAAATTAGTGATCTGTATCACTTGATTGAATAGTGTTTTGAATCATTTCATTCGAATCACTGATTCAAATCGCATGATTTAAATCACTTGATACGAATTCACAACTAAGAATCACACTATTCAAATCAAGTGATTTGGCTCAGTAATTCAAATAATGCTTCTCGGATCAGTGATTCAAATGAAGTAATTCAAATCGTTATTCGAATGAAGTGCAGATCACTGTTTCATATCAAACAATTTAGATGAGTGATTCGATTAAAGTGATTCAAATCACAACTCGAATTCCGTGATTGAGATCACTGATTCATAGCACACAATTCGAATCGGTGATTCAAAGTTCGAATCAAGTGATTCAGATTCATTTTGATGATCAAGTGATGTTGTTGTTGTCGTGTCTATGCATGCAGTGATAGTACAAAGATTAGAGTCTTCCAAAAGTCTTGATAACAAGATTTGCAAGTTCTGGAGCCTGATGGTCATGGAAATTAAGCATTAGCGTCAATAATTATTTAGTGATTTTGTACTGCCTTCAAAGATCAATTCGCTCACCAAAAATGATTAGAAAAATATTAGTGTCATTGCTAATTATTTCCAGAGATCAGCATCAATTAATTTTTGTAAGAGGCACAAATTAGAATTAAAAAAATTTGTATTAAAACGCTATAAATTTACAGAGAAAAAGTAAATAATTCTCTAAGAAAAATATAAATAGTCGCCATATTGTTACTGACGCCAATGATTTTTAATTAATTTTTATAATAGGTTCAAATTTAAATAGGAAATATACTGAAATGAAGTTTTGTACTAAATTATTGGATAAAATGTTGATTAAGGGAAACCATAAAAAACATCTTAGTACAATTGATGACAACCATTCATAAATGTTTTAGTAATAGATACTACTGGCATTATTTAATAGGTACTTTGTACATTAATGTTGGTATCAAGAAGGTACTGAGAAAATAGGTTTTTGCTGCCCACCCAAAGAGAAATTATTGATTATGGTAATTTTTGACTGTCAGGAGTTGTAGCATTATGCCAAATGATGCTGAATCAATTTAATCTTTATTTTGATGGGAGGAACTTCTAAAAGCATGTTTTGCTTAATCTGATAACATAAAGCTACCGGAAAAGGCAACAAATAATAAAAAAATGTAATTGCTTTAGTTCAATTAATTGAGTCGTTATATTACTTTCAACTTTGTGCTTCATTTCGTCGTGTTGATTAATACCAATTTATTGATTATTTGCTTTTCTTTACCCCGTACATAGAACTGGTATTTAGGTAGTATTTTAACATTTCTTAAAATAATAATAATCTTTAATTTTTAATTATTTTACACGTGTGGGGGATGTTGTTTTATAAGTTTAATAGACTTTATAACTTCTTGAATTTTCATACGATTCTCTCAAAACTTTTTCTGTATGTATTGTTAAAGTGTTATTCATTTACTTCATAGAATAATTTGATATTTCTAGGCAAGTCAGTTAAAATATATAACGGATCAAGAATTTCATACTTTACCTATTTATTTTACGAAATAACTACTTATTCAATGAAATAACTTATGATAGACCTTTATATAGAAAAATAAACAATTTCAAAGTTATTTTTAAAATTAATTGATCATTAATAACTAAAATCTCTTCAAAAATACGTTTTATCCCTATCACGGATAATTAATTTATAAATAATATGAAGAAAAAAAATGATGTAATTTATTATTACTCATATCAATGATATCATACGTTTAAAAGCAACGGAAAGAAGAGTACACACACGTCATTGCAAAGGAGCTATAAGTGGTTCAAAACTGACTAAAAGCAGTTAGAACCAGTTCAAATAATTAACCGTATTTCATACTTTACCGATCAAGTAATCGTTATTCTATAGAATACTTAGTTAAATCATAGAATTTAATTTTATATAACTGACTTGCCTAGTTATTTCACGAAATACCTAATTATTCTATGAAATAACAGATTTCACACTTTTACGGTAACATATACAGTCAGACTTCTATTTAACGAACTTCCATTTTGCGAATTTCTCTATTTTTTGAATTTTTTCTAGAAACCAAGAACATTTTAGAAATTTCGTCGTAAAATAACTTCCAAATAGCGAAGTGAATTTTCTATTTAACGAAATTTTCTTTGTTATTCACTTTCCCTATTTCCCAAAATATTTCAAACTTGTTAACGCATTTTATAGAGGAAATGACCTTGAATTGATTTTCGAAGCCCCCTTAGCTTTAAGAAAAAGCAGTTAAATCCCTTTCCTTTTTCAAACGAAAAACTCAGACAAAATTAACGGATTGTAGCAGTAGCAATTCAACTTAAAAACCCATGTGGTAATGTATGATTAAAATTACTTAATATTATGTAGCAAATATTATATATTGCTACATAATATTAAGTTATAATTTTATACAGCAAATAAATACAGTTATAATTTTATACATAAATTTAGCTTTTTTAGTTGAAAATGTATGTAGCATGATAGTGTAACACTGGATTATGTTCTGCTCTATTCTTGCTTTCCGTACAGATTTCTTTTATGACTAAGATTTATAAAATAAATAGTAGATACTAGTTTACAAGATCGTTTACAAGTGTATCAATTTGCTATTTTAATTATGTCCAGTGTTTATGAATTAAAAACCTGTTTATGCGTCGTTTAAGTATGTTAAAAGGTGATTTTCTATTTTTAACAAATTTTCCATATAACGAACTTATTATCGGGACTTAGCAACTTCGTTAAATAGAGGTCCGACTGTATAAGAGTTTACCAAATGAAACATGGTCGCGTAAGAGATGGGTTTTGAACCATAATAACTGATCTTTATACTACTCTTTTTAAAAAGATGCTTCATTTCCTTTTGATGTATAGTTACTGAACAAGTCAGATACCTTTCCCAGAGGAAGAACCCATCATCGTTTATTGTTGGAACGCAATGTTGAGGATTGATCTGAAATTATTAAAAAAATATTTTCAATCAATTGAAATTGAAAGAAAAACAGTGATAAAAATAAATACGCATTAAAATTTTTGGCATAAAATTTATTTTAACATTTGAAGATTTATAAAAAAAAAATTCTTATTAATATTTTACATACTTTGTTGCTGTTGTTACTTATGCTACATAGTATTTTATTTTATAACCGTCGTAGAGCTGCCGACCCAATATTACAACTACAACATTATTAATAATATAAGTTACGCGACTCTTTCACTTTCGTTGACGTTAACCTAGAACCACAAATAACTGATGCACGGTCTTAATAATATATTGATTTAATTCATGTCTCTTATTTTTGTCATACGGCGATCATTTTTTTTTCTCTGTTACATAAAGTTCACCTTGTTTTATAAAGATGTATAATGATGTGGAAGATTGCCAAATCACCGACAAGCTACCTTTTCACATTTAGGTTTGAAACATTGATAACTATCAGCGAATGATAAATTGATGCCTCATTCAATTTTCATCATTTAATCTTCATAGTGTTGAGAACAACAGCTTGTGAAAAAGAATTTTGTTGATTGAAATTGGTTCTTAATATTTAATAAGTATTAGAGAAAGATAATTGTAATTTAAGAAGCAAAATGTTATAGAGAGACATCTTTTGTTCTTATGATAAAATTCTTGAAGTAGGTGTTCTTGTTAGTAGAACAAAATCCTTACAGAAAATGGAAGGTTCCCTCACAAAATTCGTATATATATGAACAATTACAGCAACTTGGCAATTTTTGATGCATATAAAAAATAAATTTTTTTTTATTTAAGCGAAGGAAATAGCGTTTTTCAGAACAAGTCAATTTCATTGCATCATTTTTGAAACATATAGTATCTCGAGGTTGTTCTTTCTGAATTTTTTTCATTTTTCTGACAAAATTTTCTGATTTTATTTGATCCCATAGTATTATTCAAATTCTCTATTAAAACAGTTGAATTCTATCGTTAAACTTCAAAAATGTTCAAACATGTTCAATTATTCTAACGTTAAACTAATTACTTGATTAAATACAGAAATGCCATGAAAAAATTCCGTTAAAAAAATCAAAGGATTTACAAGAAACAGAACATTTCATTGTTAATAAGATATAGATTGTTTATTTATTTGTTTATTTGATACCATACAACTTTTCCCAATTTTTATTCACTCCTCTATTTTTTTCTGAACATTAAAATCATATGTACATTGAATAAATTTATAGAGTTGTAGCCTCTGTCCATCTCTAAAGTCTGATTAACCGGGAAAAAAATGTAGCAAAATTATTGTTTGCTAATTTTGCAATTTTATCAAAATATTAGCATTCAGTAGTTCATACAGTATTTTTAAAATATAAAAAAGCCATGTATAAAACCATATAAAAAAACTACAGTTTCACAAAACTCCAGGATGTCATCAAGGTTGACAACCAGGCGAAATTTCCGTTAAAATTTATGTATTTTAATTTTATTCAGATGAGAAATACAGTGAAAACCGCCAGTAAAGACCACTTCTATGTAGCGACCTCCTTTATTTACGACCCCTTTTGGGAGATGAGGAATTTATTTTTTTTATAGGCCTTGTTGAAGAAAACATTTCGACTGTCAAAACTTCTCGCAGTGACCGGGCAAATCTCTGCGCCAAATGCGGGAAAGGTCAAATAAAGAAACACGAAAAACATCAAAACAAAATATATTAACAAAACAAATAAGTAGATTAAAATATATTCAAAACATGTGTTTGAGGCTTTTATTAAGAGATCTCTTTTTGACGATCTCAGAAAGAGATCTACCATCTCATGCTGCAGTAAAGTGAATTCTATCACTGATTTATTTTTAGAGTTGAAAGTTAAATTGGAAAAAAAAATATATTAGAGCAAACTAAGCATTCCAAGAAAACAAGCCTTTTCTCCTTTTTTAAGGTTAACTAATTCGCATGGTATAAGACTAAAACTTGAACCTAAAAACATAGTTGTTAGTTTATTTAAAATAATTCTATCACCCATAATTTTATTTTATTTTATTTTATAACCGTCGTAGAAAAGCCGACCCAATTTGAGGTTTACTACTGCTAATGTTCAACTTAGTAAGCCTGGAAATTTTGAGCATAATCCAGAAGACAAGAATACCCCTGGATCAAGTATTGGGAGAAATTTGTCTTCGTGGAGGTCTCTTGGATGAAACTAACCTGCGATTGCGTTACATGGAGAGGAAAACTACGAGAACCTCCCACAGTTAGTCTGATCACAAGAGGACTCTAGCCCATCTGACGGAATTTTATTTCTGCACTTAATCGGTGAAAGTCGGGTGCGGAATTCGTATCAACCAGCCATTGCTGGGATTGGAACACGGTTTACCTCATTGGAAGGTGAACACGCTATCCCCTGAGCCATCCCGGCTCCCACCAAATATATAATCGAATTCAAACGAAACGTCCTAGAATTTTAATTATTTTTTTTTCACCGTAAAGTTCAGATTTTTTCCCTCATTCTGATTAGTGATATTTGCTAAGTTTGTGATTTTCGCTCCTAAGCGAATTAATACTATTCCAGTTAATTTTGTACTTCCTTTCTTTGTATATTTCTTAGAATAATTGAATAAGTGTGAAGATGCGTCTGAGTGCCTTTAAGTCAGTGATACTTGCAGATACGAAATTCAATATAAAGATATATGTTGACTTGTCAACCTAGGAGCACACATTTCAAATATTTACTTTTTATGCTTTATCTCTTTTTATTTAAGAATCTATTTTAAAGTCTTTTTTAGAGCACATTTTAAATTAATTTTCTCCATACGATTATTGTAATTTAAATGTAGAGGATTTTGAATTTTTTTTTTGTAACTGTTAATAAAAAGATATTTAACCTATAATTTAATTAACCAGATATTTTTTGACAGTTAACCTGCGTAGTAAAAATAGTTAACTCTTAATTAAAAAAATAGTTGCATTATGTAAGTAGTTTATTGTTGGATACAGTGTTTTTATTTGTTTATTCAGAACAATATATCCCTTATTCGCTTTGCTCACCTAACCTAAGATTGATTTATAATATTTCTTTTTTGTTCATAACTATAAACAGATTGGTACATCAGAATTAAAAAGTAATCTATTGACAGATTCCAAAATGTTCTGTTGTATTAAATGCTCATTTGGTTTCAGAAGTTTTGTTGCTGAGAAAAAAAATGTCAGCTTTATCATTTTGTTTAAATTTCATCTACACTTCAGTTTCTTAAATTCCGATTTAAATTTTGAAACTATATTTATTAATACAAAAAGTTAATTCCTTTAATAATATTATTTCATAAATAATTTAGATACCGTTTTATATATGTTTATCATGAAATGTTATCCAATAAGGTATTATTATAGTACAGTATACTCTCGATATCTCAAAGTTGCAGGGAAGCTAAAAGAATTTCGAGACAGCGAGTTTTCGAGATAACAAGTTCAGAACTAAATATATTCTAAAAAGTAGAAAAATATATTATAAAATTTTACTCTAATAAGTAGACTCATGAAACATAAGAATTACTACTAATAAATATGCATGTTTTGATAGTTGACTATAAGTCTAAATACAGCAATGATAATTTTATTTTTAAACGGTAAGAACAAAAATAATTATGCATTAAATAGAAAATAATAATTAACTTATATTACGAAGATAACTGATATATATAATAATTAACTTATATTTATAATTAACTTATATTGAGATTTTTACGAAAAAAGTCATTTTCTATTTTAAAAAAATAATTCATTCGCTCTAACAAGGTTTTGGAAGAAACTCTTCGTCATAAGGAATTGAAATTGACATTAGGCGATATACAATGCACTTTTTTGATATAACAATGTTTTCGAGATATTAGAGTTCGAAATATCGAGAGTATGCATATTGCTTCATAATAAAGATTTTAGTTTTAATTCTTTAATTTGAAATAATAAAAAAGAAAATAATAATAACCGAGATTATAAATACAATAGTATAATAAGTAAATATTACCATTCAACACCGATACTTAAAGGATAAAGAGTTAAATTTATAGGTAAAATACCTTTTACTTTTCATTAAATTTTATTCTTTTAATATTATTAATAATATTTTAATTTTACTAATATTATTATATAATGTATTTAATAAAATGATATTTCCTCCACACCGAAATGCTTCTCAGAATTCATATTTTGCTTTACGCAATTAAAATAAAAGTCCATTAAGAAGTTTCATGTGGAAGATCACAATTTCAATATCAATAAAACTTCTGTACATATTTTTTACTTTCAGCAATCCAATAAGCAATCATAAATTCTTTTTCATGTTACTTCGCAAATTACCACCTCTATGAAGCTGGTCATTTTTACGCACGCTAAATCATTTCAAACTAAGCTTTGTCGAGCTAGATGATGGTACTTTATAGCAAGGGAAAGAAATACAATTTTGCAAAAATTAGTAAAATGCTATTATCCAATTACCTGATAATGTAAAAGTTTTATTTTATCCGAAAATTATAAAGATGAAAAAAAAAATTATAATAATTTAATGTTTCGAGTGCTCAATTATAGGCGCCAAATCTCAAGACTTACCTAACGCAAATGAGGGGGAAAAAACATTTTTAAAAAGAAAAGGCAAAGTTTCCATTGAAAAAATGAAAAATAAAATAAAAAGGAGAAATAAATCTAGAAAACCGTGGTAGCCTTGACAGTAAACTCAGGATAGGTAGTATTTCCTAGCTCCATAGGGGGTTGGTGAGTAACTCATATCGTTTTACAAGATATTCAATATTTATATGAATGAAACAAGATTCTAGATTATCAAGATGGGCTTATGTATATTGCCCTTATTCATTGTTTATTTGTTGTGAAAAATTAATAGCTAATAATTATAAGTAAATGATAATATAATTCGCTGATTACACTCTAGCTTTTTCAAACTATTATAATTATTAAAAACCACATTGATTTTACGTCTTAATTAGTCATAATGAATAAAACTTTTCAGATCACATTCATTACGGTACAAATTAAATTAAGAACTCAAATCAGATAAAAATTTACAGTACAAATAATGAAGCTTAAATTGGACAATCATTTCGGTTTATAATTTTGTTTTTGAATTAGTCACAATGGATAAAACTTTTCAGATCACACTCATTACGGTACAAATTAAATTAAGAACTCAAATCGGACAAGCATTTCCGGTACAAATAAATAAAACTTAAATCGGACAATCATTTCGGTTTTCGGGGATTTTATGTCTTAAATAGTCGCAATGGATAAAACTTTTCAGATCTCACTCACTAGGTACAAATTAAATCAAGAACTCAAATCGGACAAACATTTACAGTAGAAATAATAAAACTAGAATTAGACAATCATTTCGGCAGAGATTGAATAGATTAATTAAATTTATATTGAATAAAACAACCTATTGTTCACCTTCATATATTCCGGTGTAAACTGCTCTCCAGTAAGAACATCAACAATCTTTTTATTAAATTTAATCCCTAATTGCTCAGCCGTTATTAAAACAGCCCTGCACGGACTGCTCATCGGATGCATATACAAATCTATCGGCATTTCTCTCCCAAAACTACGGCTTCCGAGTTTCAAAGACACTTTTCCAGATTAAGGTCAGGCTGACCAAATGAAAGCACGCCTTTTGGAAGCAATTCTCCCATACTTGGCTGAGAAAGACATTAAGCCGACTAATGAAGCATACATGGGATGAACATGCGGAATGATCAGAAGATAAAACTACATTCCGAATGTTTCTGTATCAGTGTAACAGTCAAAAAAGGATGGTACCGCGCGTGTTTTTAATGTTCGTCATGGCAACCTGCGAATTTCTACACCAAATTCTCACACGGAGCCAATTGGCTTTTTAGTTCTTTTTTGTTCATTAAATCTTCATTATAATCTTTCATATTTTCATATCGATTAGCCACTTTAATAACGTGGGCTGCATTCGAAGGAAAAATCTGATAATGAGTTTGTCCTTTTTTATGTTCATTCATTTTAAATGTTACACTGTTACACATTATCTTTCAAGCGTTTAGGTCACTGTTTCAAAAGTTAATGAAGTCTAGTATTTTTTTAAAAAGTAATCTACATATATTTTTATCGGGAATTTTTTTATGGAGTTAAAATTACTTACGAAATATTGACTTTAATTTAAACGTTTCAGTACATAATGAGTTTAAATAGCATTATCATTAATTTTTTTCCTGCATAGAATTCCTACAATGAGTCATTGCATTAAATCTTCATTATAATCCTAAATTTGTTTTTTTTTTTTTTTTTTTTTTTTTTTTTTTTTTTTTTTTTTTTTNTTTTTTTTTTTTTTTTTTGATTTTTCGCTTCAATATCATGAGTTGATGGTGTAAATATGTTAATCTAATAAAGTTTGCGTTTTTAATAATGATTTATTTCAAACGTTTCAACGTTGTGCATTTAAATATTACGTTTAAAATGTTTAGGCAGTTGGTTCAAGTTTAATGCATTCTAATGTTTTTTTTTTAAATTAATTCAAATATTTTTCTTGGAAATTTTTTTATGGATTAAAAGCAAAGTATGAGAAATTGTCTTTCCCTTTTAAACATTGCTTTTTAACGACTTTAAAAAGTTTCAGTATCTGATGAATTTGAAGATTAGGATTAAAAATTTACAAAGATTAATTTAATGCAATCAAGCGTCTTTTTTTAAGAAAGAAAATTAATCTGCAGACATTTCAAAACTTTAATCATATGGATTTGATTTTGAAACGGTCGTTGAACAGCGGACTCAATTTTGGGTTCATGACTACCAATGTTCAACTCCGTAGCTTTGTAATTTTGAACCCAATCCAGAAGACAAGGGAACTCCTAAATCAAGTATTGGAAAAATTTGCCTTCGTGGAAGACTTTTTGATGAAACTGACTAGTATTTTCGTTACATAAAGAAGAAAACAACGAAAACCTCCCACGGTTAGCCTGCCGATAAGGGGACTCTACTCAATGATTAGTCTGAACCTTAGGATATTTTACCTCAGCACTGCAATTTGTGCAAGCGCACACGGACTTCTAATCAACCAGCCATCGCTGGGATTCAAACCCGGTTCACCTCATTGGAAGGTGAAAGCTCTATCCCCTGAGCCACCACGGCCGAATCAAATAAATTGGGAAAATTCCCAGGCAAAAGTTTGCGATCCTTAATTATGATAATTTTTTTTTCTTAAGACTGTTTTTCAAAGATCTAAAATAACGCTTTTTAGAGAAAGATTATCTGTATCTCTTAACTGCTGTGAGTTTCAGCAGTTATTCATGCTTTATTAATTTTTAGCCAACGTCCACTACACTGTAAAAAATTTTCATATATTTGAAAATCAAAATTGGAGGCAACTTCTTGCCAAAGTAGAGTTCTACTACACCACGAATGAATTATAGTTCCTGGTGCAGTGTTACACTTAGAATGTTCTTTCACACTACTTGGTGTAAAGTAGTCACCACCATGTGTGTTGTTAAGTAACACTAAAATTATGTTTACAATAAGATACGATGCACATAAGTATCATTAAAATTACATTTACGAAACAATATAATGTAAGAATCAATCATTTAGGTTTCATCCTTAATTTTGCAAATTAGTAAGTAATTCAAATGTTGCACAAAGGGAATCAAACGAATTTGAACTAGGCTTAACAGAATAGAAGTGGATGGAAATTATACATTATTATAAAATAATTTAAAACAGTTTAAATAGACTTATAATAAATATAAATAAAAATATTCTTATTATATAACTAAAAACATGCATACACAGTGGTCGGACAACATTATTTTTCTAGTTCATTACAACCACAGCTACTTTGCTACAAATGTAGTTAACTATAACTATAACTTTTTTTAAATGTAGTGACTACAAACTGTTTTAGAATTTAGTAACTACTTAAGTACTTTAAGGAGACGAACTTACAATAAATTCAAGGGAATAATTAAGGAATATTTATACATGTTTACATGAGAAAGTTTGCTATTCCAAAGTATTTTTTTTTCTTCAAAATCCTTCATTTAATCTTCAACTTCTTATACCTTTCTCGACAGCGAATATTTAATTTAAGAAATACAAAATTATCAAAGACTTGAATTTTTTTTAACTGTTTAAAGCTCTTTTATTTCCTCTAAGAAATTGAGTACGCCAAAAATACGCTCCCTTCCTTTGAAATAACATCAATGTTTCATGAGTCTGCATTCGCACGTGAAAGTGCGACCAAATGGATTAATTATCTATTTTTCGTAATGGCTGATTTAAATATTAATTAGACATCAGGGGTTTCCAGCTTACATGAAGCCGGGGGTCGCAGTTAAAAACACCAGTCAAAAGGCGGGCCACAACTTTAGCAAAATTTTATAAAGGACTTTTTTATGTTTGAAAGAACATTAAATATTACTGTCAGATTTTTATCAAGTTGTACAAAACAAAAGTATTGAATTACAAATTAAAATAAGAAGCAGATTTTTACCTGAGAAATAAATTTTTTTGCACAGTTGGTATGTTGAATTTCAGAGAAACGGAGAAATTAGAGTTTTTTTTTAACGAAAGATAAGTATTTTATACCCATATAGGTTTTTTACGAAAATTGTGCGCAAAAAAATGATAACTAATATATTTTAGTTCGTGGGCCGGATGTGGCCCGCGAGCCGCCAGTTGGTAAGACCAATTACAGCTACAGATTTATTTTCATTGCATTCATTGACGAACCCGCGAAGATTTGTACCCATCAAATTCGAAAAATTAGTTGCGTTTGAGCTATGTTCTTTACTAAACTATCGATAAAAGTAATTTCCAGGAATCACTACAAACTACTGTTTCTTTTTTTCTGTATCGGACTACACTAATTTTTTTGAAAAAGTAGCTCACTTCACACTACGATTAAAAGTAGCGACTACAGTAGTTTCACTACTTGTAATGAGCTACTTCAGACTACTGTGCATATATATTTTGAAAGCCAACTATGGTTTCTGTAGATGAAAAGCAGCATTGAACATTACACTAACATTAAAGTTTTCGGAACTGAAAATATGGTGTAAAGGCATGCGTTTAGATGTTTAGAGCTTTCAAATTACCTGTAAGTTTAATATGAAATATCGATTTGGTGTAAAAAAGTGTTCCTTCGCTAATTGTAATTAATGGCAGACTATATCCAAAACTCTCCAGCAAAAAAATTTTCGAAAGCCAAAATATTTAACGTGTATTTTAACTACCACTACATGTATTAAATACTGATTTGACAGTATATGTAAGACATGTTAACTCAATTTTATTTCGAGACACGTTTTGATAGATTGACATGATCGATAATTATATCCCCTTAAACGTATGGTGTAAAGGCGCGTGATCTTGGTGCAAACATTTTGCATCTTAGGTGTTCAGAGCATTCAAAAACTCTATAATTTGTATAAAGCTCGGTTTGGTGTTAACGTGAAAAAAGTATTCCTTTACGCAATTTTTAGGGTTCTTCAATGTCAAATTGGGAGAGATATTACACTACACCTTTTAAAGTGTATGCTAACTATTATGAAAGTGACGGCAACTGTTAATGCGAAGGAAAATGATAGCTTTGTGAAAATGGAAAGCGTTTCAGGTCTAATTTTTTTTACTGTAGAACTCCTGACTCCTACTCTGCATTATTTGGATTCCTTAAATATGCAAAAATTGAGAAATATTCATTGGATTTAAAAATTTTAATCTAGGTAAAAAAAATTTCGCCAAATTGGCGATTTTTTTTTTTTAAATATTTAATAGTTTTTTTTTTCAAGACTAAGGCTATTATTCGGTTTAAAAATCGAAACAATATTTTTCAGCAAGATAGCTCACACAGTTTAAAATTAAAGCTTTACTTAAAGTTTAGTGCCTTCTGTATTCTTTATTTTTTCTTTGTAAAAGAGCTTTGAAGAATGCCTTTTATCTATGATTCTCAGGTGGATTTACATTTTCTTTAAGAAGAAAAAAATGCGAAATCTGTTAATCTATGAGTAAATATACGTTTTTATCTTTCATGGTGTCGCTCGTACCAAAAAGACCAAAAAGGAATTGAGATTATTTTAATCTCACCATAACATTTCCATTCATAAAAATCAACCCTTCACACACTTGCACCGTGTTTGTTGCTACACTATACTTGTTAACCACTTTCTCAGTTCCTTTCACATTGCTTCGCATTTTGAGCTTGTATATTTAAATCTAGGCAATCTAGCTTTTTATTCATGTTGGTATTCTTTTTAACTGGAAATTCTAAGAAATAGCAAAATATACATCCTGCGAAACTTTTAATTTATAAACATTTCTTTCAATTTATATATGTTACGATTAGATTTAAAGTTCTTTTACAGTCCTTCAAAGCTCTTTTGCAAATTTCACAAATTATTATAAATTTCAGTGTTCTGGAAAACAACCATTTTAAGTCTTTTATTATAAGATAAACTCGTAAAATATATTAAAACCAAAGAAAAGGGTTAGAAAAGAAAAAGAAAATGCACAGGAACAAAGTAAGTACACATGGAGGCAATCTATATATTATTATTATTAATAATAATAATAATAATAAAATTGGGTGAATGAATGAGCAATGATCTCCGACCTCTGATCTTAGTTTGATCCAATCTCTTCTGATAAAACACGCCTCTCTCCTGCGGAAATTGCTAAACACCATTAAAACTGAGTTATAATTCGAAATTATTATGCTGCCTGTCTAAATTAATAAACATAATTAAACAAAAATATCGAACAGGTTGCTGAT